TGTGTTCCGTCCGCCGTGTCCACGGGGGAGCCCCGTGTGTGTGTTGCCTTTGTTTACACTGATCTTCTAGGGGGTTATGATTTAGGATTATGCAGAAATGGCATTTTCTGTACTCCTGGCTCCTTGAGGTGCCCTAAGGATGGAATGGGACAAAAGGACCTAGTCCTCAGCTGTTCTGAGCTTAGAGTCTGCTGGAAAAATAACTGTGGCGCAAGGAGCTTTTAAAAATGCTCTGTTGTGTTACAATGGACAGTGTCACGTACCCTGAGAACCTACGACAGGAGACAGGATGCATTCCAGAGACAGGGTTTGGAAGCTGAGGTGACTGGGAGTCAGCTGGGAACCAGGGGGAGCTGCTCCAGGCATGTGCAAAGGCCCTGAGGTGAGGAGGAGGGTGGTGCTTCATTCAGGGCATGAAATAAAGCTAGTCAGGTGCCACTGGAGAGTCCGCGGCCTGGGCTGCTCGGCAAAGGCCTGATGGCCGCAGGAGAGCATTGTGGGGTTTTTTTTGTTAAGATTTTATTTCTTATATGAGGGAGAGAGAGAGAAAGGGAGTGCTCAAGCAGGGGAGGGGCAGAGGGAGAGGGAGAATCTCAAGCTAACTCCGTGCTGAGTGGAGAGCCCAACACAGGGGCTTGATCCCATGGCCCTGAGATCGTGACCTGAGCTGAAATCAAGAGTCAGATGCTTAACTGACTGAGCCACCTGGGCGCCCCAGGAGAGGGTTTTAACCCGGACCACGTCTTCCCTTCAGAGCTCAGAATTTTGTGCAGAGGGCCTGACCCGGCCACCGAGGCCACCCTGAGCTGACTGGTGGGAGGCCCAGGGCCCCAGCAACCTCGCATCCCGGTCCCAGCTCTGCCCTGTGTGGGGCTCCACCTCTCCCCCTCCAGCTGCTTCCGCTGTGAAGGGGCTGACTTCCCACAGGGCGGCCGGGATGGCGGCCATCAGATGGCCCCTGCTCTGCTGTCGGAATTGTCTGGACTGAGATGTGGGTCAGGGGAGCCCATTAATGGGGAGCCCATTAATGGGGAGCCGGTGCCTTGAGAGGTCCTGGGATGGAGCTGAGGCTGAGGTGCTCGGGGCTGGAGATCTGTGTGTCCCACAGAACAGCCACAGGGCGGGGCCGACTGGCTCTGAGTGGGCTTCAGGATCAGACCCAGGCACCTCGCTGGCACGCTCAGGCCACTGGAGAGGTGGGACGTGGACCATCAGACCTGGGCTGCCCTCCTCAGAGCCGCTTGTGTATCTGAAAGTGTTTCGTGTGGTCTTGTCTGCCTGCGCTTCTCGACAGCCCAGGGAGTAAGGAGCTTGGAGCAAACGGCTGCACGTCGGCAGCCCGCGAGAGCCGGGAGGCCGGCCTCTATCCCGAGCCCGGGTCAGCGGTCCCGTGGGGCACAGACCTCGGTCGTCGCCACCCCTGCCCACCCAGCTCTTTCCCCAGCAAACCTGGTAAGAAGGGGATTAGACCGCAGTAGTGCCTGCACTTTTAGCCAAGTAGAGACGCAGGCTCTGCTGGCCAGTGCCGCCGCGCGCTGGGGCCCCGAAGAGGCTTTCTGCAGGGAAGGTCCAGCCGTCCACCCGTCTGCCTCTCACTTGCACTCCCCAGCCCTCCAGAGTAAAACCTTCCTGTGAATTTCAGACTGTGATCTGGCTCTCCAGAGCTATGTGCCCAGAACCGCTCCTTCATCCTGACGTCTCTCCTCTCGGGGGTGAAGCACTCTCTCCTGTTGGCCTTTATATAACGGAGAGATGAAAAGCAGTTTATTTTTGTTCTGTGTCCATCCCACGGGCTTTCCCAGCTGCCTTCTGTGACTCCAGGAGGAGCCAGACGTTGGGCATAGATGAGGAGCAGGGGGTGGAGGGCAGAGCCGTCCAGTGGCCCCTGTGGACATGGCTGGGGGCAACCAGCGGGCCTGGGCATGCCAGGTCAGAGAAGAGGTGGCATGGCCCTTTGACCCTGGCATCCATCCCCGGCCCCCACCACCCCTGCCTACCCTCCACACCTGGGCTCTGGGTGACCGTGTCCTCTCTTTGGCTTCTACTTGTCCATTGCCTTCATTGTCCCTCACCAAGGACTCTTGGAGAGCCTTGCAAAGGGCTGCTGAGTGGAGGAGGGGTGGGGGTGGCCCAGAGAGGAAAGACAGTGGTGGTAGGGGGGCATATTCCCCCATCCAGCGCAGGTGGAGAGCAGGGTTGAGGGCAGGGGGGGCAGGAGAGGGCTGAGGGCAAGGGCGAGTCTGGGCCCCAGAGTGTGGGCCTGGCCCCGGGCCTGAGTGGAGGGGCCCCAGGCACGAGGTCTCCATCCCGTGTCTGGTGATGCCCAGATGTGCACACAGCAGGCAAGGTCTGGGGTGGGCGGTCCAGGATCTCTCAGTAGACCTGATGAGGCCACTGGTCTGCGCTGGCCCTGCCCACGTGTGGTCACCACCAGCAGGCCCAGCCTTGGGGGTGGCTGTGGAAGGGTACCTGCGGTGGGTGCAGAACTGTGGTCACCGCGGACCCCAGGGATCTTGGGCACTCGGTCACTGGGAGCTGGAGGAGCATCCTGTGAGTGCCACGTGCAGGGCCCCAAACCCCACCCAGAGGAAGGTGCCGCTTGCTCTGAGGAAAGGCTGCGTCAGAGTGGTGGCATCTCCAAGGCGAAAGGCATATCTTTCATTTATTTAATCCAAACCATCGTGTGAATTATTCATTCACGTTTACATAGGCGATTGAACAGCAGTGTAGGGGGTAGGTCAGAGCACTGACTTTGCTCCTGAATCACAGCCAGAGGCCACGGTGGCCCCTGAACTCGCTGTGTCAAGGCGTTGGCCCCTGAGGGTCACAGCCTCTCGCCTGACCCGCACCAGGCCTCCAGGTCAGTGGGGTCAGAGCCCTCTTTACTCTGACGGGCCGTGTGACCTTGAGGCTGCTCCGCTCCCCACGCCCCCCACTCTTGCCCGTCAGAGGATGACGTGGGACTTGCCTCGTGGTGTTGAGCGGCTGTGCGGGGTAAGGTGTGCGTGGTGCCTGGCGCCGGGGGCCCCTCCCAGGGGGGTGGCAGGTGGCCTGGCTCATCCGCTCCTGACCCGAGCCCCGTCTACTTGTCGGAGTCCCACCAGCGTGGGAGCAGCATTTTGGTATCTGTGGGTAAAGGGGCTCTTACCTTCTCCGAGGTCAGGCTGCGTTATTACTGAAATTTAATTTTTACTAGTGGACATCTGAGATCCATTAAAGGCAGTGCAGGCTCTGATGGGTGAAATATCACCTCAGAACTTTGGTTAGTGAATTTTCTCTTGTGGAATGGGTTTTCCTCCCACTAGCAGATCCATCCTCGGTGGGCTGGCCGAGAGACTCAGGGAGGAGTGCAGGGTCAGAGCCGCCAGTTACCCCTTTGATCTCATAGTCTGATTACTCGATTAATCAAGGGCTCTGTGCCCACGTCCTGAAGGAGAGGCTCTCTGCTCCCGGATAACAATGTCCAGCAGGGCCAATCGGAGCTCTCTGATGAATGGGGCACAGGTGAGGGCAGGGCGTGTGGCCAAGTGGATGGACACGCATGGTGGAGAGGCCAGAGGGACCCGTCCTCTGGTATCAGGAGGCCTCGTTCAGCGGGAGAACGCAGAGTTGCAGGCAGTGCAGATGAGACCCAGGATCTGTGTTCATAAGCCCGGCACCATCCGGAGTGTGTGAGGGGCAGGGGTTGTCGAGAGCTTGGCCTTAGGACAGACGGCCTTCCCTGTGCCAGGTGCTCATGGCCAAGCACTGAATCCCACAGGTCCTTCTTTGTAAAGCCGAGAATCGGCACCCTCCACGTGGCCTTGTGGCGGCTGCGCAACCCCCACCATCGGTGCTGTGTCCTGAACCCACACAGCACTGTGCTGTGGCCCCATGGACCTAGCTTGGTTCTCGTGATGCCCCTGCAGGCGGCTGTGTGCCTGACACACACCCAGGAGCTGGAGGATGATGGGCTCGAGGCCTCAGGTCAGGACGGGCAGAGCGGCTGGAGGGTCTCCAGTGGGTTTCCTGCCCTGGAAGGCAGGCTCCCCGTCCCCTTCACCTCCTCCAGGAAGTGACCCTGCCTGCATCTGCTCATGTGAAGCTGGCTGACGTGACTGCCTGCTCTCAGCCCCATCAGGGAGCTGGTGGTTGGCGGGCCTGGGCTTCGGCCTGAGGATGAGGGGTTGCTGTTGCTGTCACGGTGGGCAGGGCTCCAAGCCGGGCTGACCAGCTCCGAGGCCGGGGGCTTTCCCACCACCCCGTCGGCCAGCCAGACTCCCATCCTGCCCAGGGCACCCCCGTCGTCAGCTCCAGACGGGACCACCAGGGAGCTCCTGGCTTCAGAGGTGGCACTTGTGTTTGAGGAGAGCCAGCCTCGCTAATTACTGGGGGGATAACCGAGGTTTAATTAGCGGGAAGGCACCTTGGGTGAAGCATCCGTGGTAATTGCTGTGTAGCCTCCTGACGGCTTTGCACTTGGCACAGCTGGTTTCTCCCGTACAACCATAAACCGTGGCAGGAGTGACGAGCGGGCCTGGGGGCGGATGGGACCCGGGGGCCTGTCTTCACCTGGTGGCCTTGTCTCCGGAACATGATCAGGCATCTCTAGGGCATCTCCTCTCAAAGCCCCCCGTCTGTTCAGCACTTCTCCGTGCTGGCCCAGGCGGGTGGGCATCCAGCCCCCCAGCAGGAACCCGGCTGCAGCCGTGCATGGGGACCCAGGACCGGCGTCCCCAGTCGGTGACTGAAGTCTGCGGCCGGAGGGCTGGTGCTCACACCCTCATGTCCCGACCTGGGACGACTTCCGTGTTGCCCCTGTTGTGCCTCAGAAAGGGACCGGGCCGGGGGTGGAATCCGGGGCACAGAGCCGGGAAGATGTCTGGCCTGTCCGTGCCGGGCAGGACCCCGTCTCCTCCTCGACCCTCCGCCTGGTGATTCTGACCCGGGCCCCCTGCTGCCCCCCCGAGCCCCCCCTTCTCAGGGCTTGCAGGCTCACCCCCTTTCCTCTCCCCCCTCAGAGCTGAGGAAGCAGGTGGAGAGCGCTGAGCTGAAGAATCAGCGGCTCAAGGAGGTCTTTCAGACCAAGATCCAAGAGTTCCGGAAAGTCTGCTATGCGCTCACGGGCTACCAGATCGACATCACCACGGAGAACCAGTACCGGCTGACGTCCATGTACGCGGAGCACAAAGCCGACTGCCTCATCTTCAAGGTAGGACCTGCTGTGACCTGCCGTGCACGCTGGTGGGAGCAGCCTCGCCTCAGGCAGGCATGGTCCATGGCGCTGGGAGGGGGCGAGTCTGCTGACCCGCGGCCACCCGCAGCTCTGCCCTGCGGCCTGGGGGCCTCTTGCGGGACGCCTCCGGCTGTCTGCCATCCCCCTGTTGCTACACTGGTCCCGTTGCTGGGAGGGGCAGGGCAACAAGGCCCAGGGTATCCTGCACCAGCCGCGCTCAGGGGACAGCTGAAGTGATAGGGTGAGGGTCTGTGTTGGGCCAGGGAGACGGCCTTGGGACCGGACCGTGGCAAGGTCAGTGTGCCGCACCGCAGAAGGATGGGAGGGGGCCGCTGCTCGACCTCTATGGGACGCGCCCTCCGGCTTGCTGGCGAGGCCGGGGCTGGGACCCCAGGCGCACGGGGGGGCAGGTACTGCGCGGCCTGTGTTGGCCCTAGACTCTCTCTCTGGAGATGCTGCTGGGGCGCGGTGCCTGGCGTGGTGGGGGCTCCCACGGAGGAGTTGTGCCCGTGTCGAGGCCTGAGGTGTGCTCTGGGTTGCAGGGCTGGGGCACTCACCAGGAATGAAGCACCTGCCTGTGAAGGGCGAGCAGGTCCCAGCAGCAGGGCTGGGGACTTCCTGTGCCACTGGGGCGGCCTGGGGAGGCTGCCTGCCCGAGCTAGAATCTGGGTGAAAAGGGCTGGTCCCACCACCGCTCCACTGGCCTGACTCCTGACCCCGCCCTGCCGTGAAGACGGCGCTGTGGGCTGGGCAGGGTGCGGCGGGCGAGGCCGCGGGAGGCCAGGGTCCCCAGAGAGGCCGCCACTTCGCGTTGCCACGGTGTGGAGTGGGCCATTCACCTGTCACTGCCCACATCTGTAGAAACAGCCCACTTTTCTTTCTGTTCTTGTATAAAAAGGGAACAGCCTGTGTGTCGTGCACGCTTCGAACAGAATGCAATAGCAAATGACATCCTTTCTGTCTCATTTCATCGTGCGCTTTCTGGTGAACCCATGACCAGCCAGCCGCTTGCTGGTAAAGGTGCTGGCCGCGCGCAGAGGCGCCAGGCCTCAGGCTCCGGCAGGAGCCACCCTGGAGGCCGGCACCCGACCCTGACCTCCCTCCTGGCGGCCTCTCCTCCTGAGGTCAGGGCTGCATCTCAGCCTGGCGTCTGCCCCCCAGCGTCTCCCAGCATTTCCTCCCAACTCCCCTGCCTTCTTGGGTCACGTGTATCCGTTTCTACGTTTCTTGAAACTCCTCAGTCCTCGAATAAGTGAAACACTCAAACACGTAAAGTGTCTACGTAAACTGTCAGGAACATACTTCTTCACTCCTGTTCATGTGATTCCCTGTGCCTTGGAAGAACTCGGCATCGCTGATCGCTGTTGCATACCTTGTAGAAATCCCACGGGTCTTTAAACATTAAGTACATTAACAAAGATGTACAATTTTTACAAGCCCCATTCACTCTGGCAGCCACTGCACAGCGGACACAGGCCGAAGTCACTGTCAGACCCCCGGACCCTCTGCCGTCCCCCCCACCCCCTGATGCCCTGCTGTCCCTCCCCACCTTCAGCTGTTCCCCATGGCCC